AATGAAATCTTATCAAATGAAATTAAAGGTATTGTTGATAGATTTCCCAATGAAAACGATGATGGATTTGATGCTGAACCTGGTTATGCAGCTTTTAAACAATATCATGAATTACGAGAAAAAAGAATGAATTTTGAAATTGAACAATCTATGCATTTTTTATTCGAACTGCAAGTCGAGGGCGATACCAACAATCTGCAAATACAAGAAGAAATAATCGCTCCGACTGTTATACGTTCGCTGGGCGAGGATTTCTTGCTCCAGCAATAATTAATGAAGCAAATATTCGATTAAATGAAGAAGATCATCAATTATTAAAATTGGGACCCAAATTTATATTTAATGACCCAAAAACAGCTGCTCGACGACGTATAACTGAGTTGGCTGCTCTTCGTCGAAAAATTGAAAATTGTTTCTTTCGAAAGAAAGTGAGCCCCGGTCGTCCTCTTCAACAATTTATGGCTGAATTAGATGTTCTTCTTCAAACTTTACATAATGTTCCAACAGCAGATAAATATTTAAACAAAAATGCATTATTTGACGATAATATTACAAATCAAAATAAAGGTGTTATAGAAATTATAAATAGTCAATTGTCTCAACCACAAATTGTTAATATAATTAAAATTAAGAAAAAGAAAAATTATGGAAGATTAGTTAAAAGATTGAAACATAAATTTAAATTGGCAAATGTTGTATTACAGAAATCAGATAAATGAAAAGTATTCCATTTAGGTAAATTAGAAGATTACCGTAAGAAATCTGAAGAATATATGGCTAAAACTGAAGCATATAAATGCTTAGGTATAAATGATCCATTACCAGATTTAATTACAAGAACCAATAAATATTTATTGGATTTAAGATTAGCTAAATGGATTACTCAAAAACAATATGAAAATTTATGTATTAACCCATGTGAAGTGGAGCTGGCTCATTTATATTATTTACCAAAAGCCCATAAGCCAGGTACTCCTCTTCGTCCAATAGTTTCTGGCCTTAAACATCCTACTATCAAAATTTCAAAATTTCTTGATGAATTATTAAGACCATTATTTGATAAAATGGCTGTAAAAACAACTGTAAATTCTGGTTTTGAATTAATTAAACAGTTATTAGAATGGGCAAAGATAAAGATGCGTCAAGAAACATTATTTTGTACAATTGATGTGATGGATCTTTACACAATGGTGCCACAAACTGAAGGAGTACTATCATTAAAAAAGATGTTAGATCATTTAAAATTAAAACGTATTAATGGGTTAAAAATTGAAACAATTATTAGATTAAGTCGATTCGTAATGAAAAACAATTATTTTTCTTATGATGGCCAATATTATCATCAAATTCGTG